GTAAACGGCAAAGTTTATATGTAAATAAATAGATATGTGTAACCCAATCACACGAGGTTTCGTTATTTTCTTCACTGCATGCCAGAAAAAGTTTAGGGGTACTCGTTATAAATTTATGGCCCGGCATCCAAGCAAAATAATTGTCGTGTAAACGCAAATTGGTGGGCCAGAAATACAGGTCCGCGGACCAAAATTTAAGCGGGCCGTGCCAAAAAATCATATCAGTGTAAATGGGCCTATAAAGACACGACACGTTTATGATTTTTTGTTGCATTTTCCTCATGAATTATTAATTAATGCGTTTTTGAGAATATCAATTAGAATTTGCCCATTTCACCTCTGCTTGCTATGTTAGTTGCTTTGCGATTTACACAAAGGTAGATTTTGCAAAATTTCGAGCGTATTTTTTCAGTTGGGTAATATTGATCCCATTTGTTGAGGTCATGGTTTGCAACGGCACCTCATATCTCGGAGTTGTATAGAAGAATGGGCGAAATTATACTATCAAATATTTATATTGCTATATGTGAGGGTAGCTAATATCACGTTTTTTCCTTGTGAGTTGTGAAGTTCATGGCACGATGGGCTTTGTCAGCAAGTTGCTTATAACTGCTAATAAAGTAAAGTAAATTTTCCGTTTGGTGAAAGGCTAAGTCGTCCTAGCCCCTAGTTATTGTACTATTTAGTCACTTGGAGAGCTTTGTTCTCAATTAAGCCCGCCGCACACGAGAGCAACTTGCTGAGCTAACCGCCTCGAGTGGCAGCTAGCTCAGCTATGTATTTTCACCGCACACGTTGGGAAAACTACTCAACAACAACATAATTAACAAAATTATTTGCATTTTCCTCCATTTTATTCCATGTCACAAGAAGAAACTATGGTTTGTCATTGGCTAATTGATTCAAACAGCTCAGCACTTAGCTCACAATATCCGCAGATGCTGATCTTTTTTCCTCGCGAGGTGAAAAATATCAAACACGAGATATTTTCCTCAAGGCCTCGAGAGGTCAAATCCTTACGAAAACTATCCGCACACGAGAGCTACTTGCAGAGCTAACCGCCTTGAGAGGCGGTTAGCTCAGCAAGTTGCTCTCGTGTGCGGCGGGCTTTAGAAAATTCGGTGTAGATTGTTTCAATCTTTGATGGTTTCTGGAAAATCATGACTTTGTTTTTTCAGATTTACATGCATCATCCAGTTTTTACACCAGTCATTTAATTGATTTAAGACAGTTTTGAAGACCAACCTTAGATCTTGATAAGACAAGATCATCGGCATATAGTAGACAATTTAGTTTTGCTTCATTGAGTGAAATTACCGGATCAGAAGGTATGTTGCTAAATATAGGGGGAGTCATTTAGAAATATATTGAACAGCAGGGGGCTCAATATGTACATCCTTGATGTACCCCCTGTTATATGGAAAGAACGATGTTAACAGCACATTTTGAATTAGAAGATAGGTTTTTTATTAATTGGAAAAATTCCCAACGACTTTATTCTTAAGTAGTTTTAAGTATAATCCGTAGTGCCAAACCGAGTCGAAAGCTTTATTGAAATCAACAAAACATGTATATAGTCGTCCATGCATTTGTTTTCTGGTTAACATATTTATCAGTTAAAGTTTTTATAATAAGGATGTGGTCAGCCGTTTTGTGGCCGGGTAGTAGTAATATAGAGACCGATCGGGCCGGATTTTCAGGGCGGTGTAGGGCGACGCATCATTAAAAATCCAGGGTTGTGCAGGGCGGCGCATCATTAAAAACTCAGGTCGCTGTTAATTTTGTTGTTATGCGTTGCTGCTAGGTCCATAAACCACAGCAAATAATATAAAGTCTCTCAAAGATATAGCACACTGCTGATGTTACTTGAGGGTGTGCACGCATGGCGTCATAATGATATGCAAGGCGAGCCTGGGCAAGAAAGTCATTAAGCTGAGGTTAGCATTTTTATCAAGACAGTAATATTGTCCAAACATTTGATCTAAGCACAGTCTTTTATCGACAGTCAATAGATAATATAGATATGATTTTTGACGAGTTGAAACGAAATGAAATTGATGTTGATAAGCAAACTTCGTCGGAGCCACTCTAAATAGCTCGGAGCCGAGTTCTCAATAGTTCGGAGCCACTCTAAATAGCTCATAGTCATGATTATAGTCTTAATGGTCAATTCTATAGTCTTCATGTTCATGACCATAGTCTTAATGGTCAAGACTATAGTCTTAATAGTCATTACTATAGTCTTAATGGTTATGACTATAGTCTTAATGGTCTCTCATTAAGACTATAGTCATGACCATAAGACTATAGTCATGACCATTAAGACTGTAGTCATGATTATTAAGAGTATAGTCATAACTATTAAGACTATAGTCATGACCATTAAGACTATAGTCATGACCATTAAGACTACAGTCATGACCATTAAGACTATAGTCATGACTATTAAGACAATAGTCATGACCATTAAGACTACAGTCATGACTATTAAGACTATAGCCATGACTATTAAGACTATAGTCATGAACATTAAGACTATAGTCGTGAACATTAAGACTATAATCATGACTATGAGCTATTTAGAGTGGCTCTTAGCTATTTAAAACTCAGCGCCGAGCTATTTAGAGTGGCTCTAAGCCTCTCGAGTTTGGCTCTGAATATCATACAATATCTTAGGATATCAATATCTTAAGGAATCATGCAGTATTTTAATTAAGATGTCATAGAGTATCTTAGGATATCAATATCTTATAGGATACCTATATCTTATGATATAATGCAGTATCTTAGGATATCGTACAATATCTTGGAATATTATGCAGAATCTGAGGATATTATA